TCAGGTCAGCTTGATCAAATTATCTTTGTACAATGAAGCGCATCCATACCACATGCTTATCCATCCACTATTATCCAATTGGTTTTTAGACTGCGACTTTAGATTCTAACTAGTCATGGCTTGAGCCTAGAATGCCACCTCACCCATCACGGGCTCACTACCTAATCACCTACTGCGCTCTACACTGTCACCTGAGTTATTCCTGGCCCTTAGGTAACCCGGTCACATGCCCACTCTGGTCTGGCAACCCAATAGCAGTATATACATCCCTCCATAGATACTATTATATTTATATCCGAAGTCCATCCACATGATCCCTGGAGAATGGCGAAATTCGAAAACACTCAGCGGGACATTTGTGTTTCGAGTATCTTGTACAGGTGGATCTTATATCTATGTATACTATGTTCAAGCTCGTATGCAGAGCAGTCAAGTAAATAACACCACATCTTATTCTAGTAGTACTAAGGCTTCCTAACTCTGTAGAATCATTCTTAAATGAAGAGGCATAACGTCTCTACACAGTTCAATGGCCTCTATACATGCAGATATTTATAGCCTTCGTGGTTTTAGGCTTTGAGAGCCTTATGCTGGACGTCTCTAGGGTCTATATTCCTGATTATTTATTGAGAATGGGTCACTTATATCTTTCTAAACAAGCAGGATCTTCCTGGTGATTTTCTACCAAAACGGCTGCTACAGGCTCCGATGAGTAGTATTTGTAGATCATCATACTATTACTTCACCTCTAGTCTTCTGCGCTAAATTCATCCCATGACAGCGAACTTTCCGAGCTTTCCGAAATGTCTGACCTCTCTGCACTTTCCGAAATCTCTGGGACTTCTGGACTTTCGGTAACCGTCGTCTGAAGGCTTCTTTTTGGCTGCAAAATTTCCAGGATCTTTGCTCCCCATCGAGTATTCTCCGCTGCTGCTTCAAGTACTTCCTCAGTCACTGGAAGTCTTTCTCCTCTCTGTTGAAAGAGTAACTCCATGATATGATGTCCACACCACATATTTCCTGTTGCTTTCTTGAC